TCCTTTTTGATGTAGCGGCCTTTCTAGGATTAGCTGTGGAAGATCTGTTCTGCCAGTCTTGAGGTCATTTTTAAAATTAGTTGCAATAGATGCAGCTGCTGCTTCGGTGTGTCTGTGGGACACGGTGAGCTCAGGATCCTATCCGGCCCTCAGTTCTGTTCTCACACTTTCATTTAAATGTTGACATATGGTTTCTTTTAGTTCTCCTCACACATTTAAAATGGAGGACTTAAAATCTGTACCTCATAAGTCCAATGTCTAGACTTCTTCAGGGGAAGTTTTAATTGACTACTTTTTTCCTGTATATGAGCTACACCTTAAACTATTTGCGTCGTATTTTTTTTGTTGTTGTTGAAAACTTAACGTTTAAAATAATATAGTGTGGCAACAGTGGAAATCAGGGTCCCACCTGCTTCAGAGGCTTTGTTATTGTGGCTATGTCTTGCTGTTTCTCTTTGTTTAATGACTTTCCTAAACTGATTCTGTGAAGCCTGTATTCTTTATAATATGTGGCCACTGAAGTTTCCACCTACCTGTGGGCTAGTGACTGAACAGAGATTTCCTTATACACTTGGAACTAATAAATCTCCCAGTCTTTGCTAGGACACCATGTGTTTTGGGGCACACCTCCAATACTCAACCAGGTTGTTAACAACTCTGCCTTAATCCTCACATCCTGCTTGTGCAGAGCCTCAAGGTCAGCCAGAGGTGAGAGTTTAAGGCTACTTAGATCTTTCCTGAGCATGTACACAGTCCTAAGTATATGCTTGGACTTGGAGATTCCCAGGAGTATGTTAGAGCTTTTCAAAGCTCCTACAGGCTCAAAGCCTGTATCTATAGGCATTTTATTCGCCAGGTTTTCCTTTTAAGATTTTTGGTTCTCTATTGTTTTCTCCAAATGTCATCTATACCTAAGAGAGCCATGAAGTTCAAATATTTGTCTGTAATTGGTTCTGAAAAATGTTCTATCTTTCCCAGCTCACAGATGTTTTTTCTATTGGACAAGCTCCATGTCCGGCCCAATACAGAAAGGCCTATAAGTGGGGTGTTCCAGGAACCACTGGACAGGTCAAATAATGATAATTATTTGGCAATTAGGCTTTGAAAGAGTTCCACCTGTTCTGCCCTTTGGTGCCTGAAATGCTACAGTGGGAGAGTTAGTGGGCCATTATTCCACTCCAGAGCTGGAGAGTTGGGGGATTGGACTAAGGCAAATTAAATTGCCACAAACCTCACTGATCACACTATTTTCTTGACCAAATGCTCTAGAAGTTTCTGCGAGCCTTTTTTTTTTTTTTTAAAGATTTTATCTATTTGATAGTGAGGACAAGCAGGGGGAGTGGGTGAGGGAGAGGCAGGCTCCCCACTGAGCAGGGAGCCCAACGTGGTGCTCCATCCCAGGACCCTGGGATCATGACCCGAGCCGAAGGCAGACACCTAATGACTGAGCCACCAAGGTTCTCCAGGCTTCTGATTAATTATCAAATTCCTAAGAAAGTTGATTCTGAGGGGTGTGTGTGTGTGTGTGTGTGGCAGTTTTTTCATTGCTGTTATGGAAGAATGAAATTTTGAAGGTCCTTATGCTACTATTTTCACTGCCTTCCTGCTCCTGACTTGGACGTTTGGAATTACAAAAGTAGCAAGTATGCTGTATAAACTGTACATGCAACTACACCAAGTTTGAGAATCACACCTTACTGCAGAGAAGTGAGATACCTGAGAAGACTATAAAGAAACACATGGCTTCTTTGCCTTGAACGGCTTTACAATCTAGTTTCAAGGATAAGACATATCCTCAAAAGGCAAAAGACAGTAAAAGTAACCTGCCACCTTCAGGAACACAATGCTGACTTAATAAATAATCGCCTGAGTTATAAATGCAAATTCTACAGAATTTCAGAGAAGGGATTCACTAGGGTTGAAAAAGCATCACAAAGACTAGAGATCTCTGCTTGGGTCTCGACAGAAGCATAGCGAAGTGGTGAGAAAAGGCAAGAACCTGCCAAAAGAAACATTACTGTTTTAGAGGTTTTAAATATTCTTAATATAATCCTTTGTCAGATATAAGGCAATAATCATTGGTCTTGAAAGGAGGATTCACTGATAGGTATAAGGGAATATAAACTTGTCAAGATAGGGGCTAGTGAAAGGCCATGAATGCTAACTTAAGGAGGTAAGACTTGACTCTGCAGTCTGGAAAGTGGCAAAATATGGCCACGGCCCTCAAGACAAAATTACCCTGTTTTGGTAAGTAAAGTTTTATGAGAACACAAGCCAGTTAATTCACTATCGTCTAAGGCCAATTTAGCACTACAATGAGTTAAGCTGAGTAGTTGCTACAGAAAGCATATTTCATCTCTCCTTTTATACCTTTGTTGGGAGTTCCATAGGGGCCAAAATATTTACTATCTACCCCTGATATTGGCTATGACTCTGGCCCATACCTTTAGGCTGTAGCCTCAACCTTGGATAATAAAAGAGAAATTAAGGGTACAGAGAACACTTAAGAGACTGTTTTAAAAAATCTATCCAAGGTGAGCAGCACTAGACTGAGGGAAAGCTTTCAGGACTTACGGTTGGTTGAAGGAAAACAGTGAAAGGTCAAAGATGACTCCAAAGTTCTGAACATGTATGATTGGTAGAAAGTTGTAGTGATAACCAAAATAGCAAGTTTGGAGTAAAGTTAGGTGAAAGCATAATGAATTTGTCTTTAAACGTGTTAAGTTTCAGATGTTAGTAAAACTTTGAACTGAAATATTTGAAAGTAGTTAGAGACTTCATTCTTCAACTTGGGAGAGGTGGCAGGGTTGGAAATAGAGATTTAAAAGTTCTTTGCAGAGTTGAAGTCACAGAAAGTAGAACTGACCTCCTAGGATAAATCCAGAGAAAGAGTAATTGAGTGGAAGACAAGGTATTAAGAGATACTCACATGTATCAAGTAGAAGCCAGGAAGAAGTAGAGACAGTGTAGGAATGGCCAGAGAAAAAAGGTGGGAATCAGGGTAGCAAAGCAGAAGTCACATAAGCTATTAAAGTTGTTATGTGAATAGAAGGCACAAGGATAAAGAAGAGTCTACAAAAGAAAGAGTGAATGAATAAAAGGTCAACTGGGATGGTGAAGTGTCAAAGATGTCAAGAGAATATCAAGGCAAGGGGTAACTTTTCAGATCAATCTCTAAAATTCAATGCTTTATAAGTTTCATACTAGAAATCTTATAGGAAGTAGACCTCACATTTATTTATGAAAAGATATTCAACTTTTCTACTGACTTTTCAAGATACATGACACAATTTACAAGCTAGTAACTCATGTATCAGAGAGCTAAAGATGATCAAAATCTCTATTAAGAATTCCTTTTTTTAAAAAAGATTTTTAAAATATTTATTTGACAGAGATCACAAGTAGACAGAGAGAGAGGAAGGGAAGGAGGCTCCCTGCTGAGCACAGAGCCCGACGCTCGATCCCAGGACCTTGGGATCATGACCTGAGCCGAAGGCAGAGGCTTTGACCCACTGAGCCACCCAGGCAATGAGATAAATGTAAGGTTTTTTTTTGTTTTTGTTTTTTAATATTTATTTATTTGACAGAGAGAGATCACAAGTAGGCAGAGAGGCAGGCAGAGAGAGGGGGGGAAGCAGGCTCCCCGCCGAGCAGAGAGCCCCATGTGGGGCTCGATCCCAGGACCCTGAGATCATGACCCGAGCCATAGGCAGAGGCCCAACCCACTGAGCCACCCAGGCGCCCCAGTAAGGTTTTTAAAAACCCTGAAAAAAGACTTACAAAAAGCAAAGGGTGCTGCACCACAGCATAAAATCCAAGAGAAGCCTGGAAGGATAAATAGGTCCCAAGGCTACTTCTCTAAAGATTGCTGCAGCTCATTCCATGCCTTGTCCAACCAACCCCTCTTAACTAAATTATTTTACTATAACTGTTTGTATGTGAAAATCCTAACTTAAGTTCCTTGAGTGAAGAATTTTTTTTTTATTACTTGTTCCTTCACTGAATCACTATGCTCCTATATATTCTTTGTTCTAAGATGTTGGGAAAACTTAATCTGAGTTGAAAATTATTTACTTTTAATTTCCTAATAGGAAAATATCATTTAATATATTAGTGAAAAACCCATTCACAGATTTATACAGAGGAAGAAAATAAGAGACACTGAATATAGGTATTTGCAAAAACATGGAGTATAAAGAGAAAAACAATACTCTCAATCATTGACAAAAAACTAAGAGCTAAAGTAGTGAACATTTATAACTAAAAGGGAAGTTGCTTTCAATAAAACAAAGCAGAAAACATTACTTAAATAACAGCATTTACAGGCCAAAGAAAATAAAAGTGAATAGGGTGTGTTAAACTCTCTCGTATATAAATCCTTCACAAAAAGGTCGAATTAGCAGGTAGATACAGGGGGAAACCGGATTAAAAATGGAGATCCTACAGGGAATATCTGGGAACCTTTAAGAACTTTCAAAGTTCACAGGTACTTTAGGACACCCAATTTTACTTCAAAACCAGTTATATTATTTATAAAATGTATTAGCCATGACATGGATGGCTTTTGAGTTGTAAATAAAAACATAAAAATAAAGGAGAAAATGAAGAGAGGATGAATGAAAGAGCTGGAGACCCTGCCCATCATATGATGTAATGATGTGAGTCTGAATTGCTTACCACACATAAAAAGGGAGAAACAATGTATATGAACTCCCAACAAAGGTATAAAAGGAGGTGACAGAGAGCTGGAGGCGTGATTCTTGGACTTAGCCACTAGGTGGTGGCATTGGCCCAGGACTGTTCAGTTGGGGCCGCTGGAAAGCAGGTGCAGGGAACAGTAAGCACTTGTTTGGTCATTTGTAGCTATGGGGCTGTCAGGGAATGGCATTCTATTTTGTTGATAAAAATTCTGAAAGCAAACACTAGTCAAATACTTCAACAAATTATCAAAGATTTACTATAAAATGATTATAAAAATATAACTGTGCTTGTCCACTCACCTTTACTACATTGTCCCCTGACTGTCCATTATTTCGTAAACAATCTAGACATATAGCAATTTGTGGGTCACTTCTGTGATAGTCTTTATCATCTTGATTTTCATCACCTTCTTCATCTACTTTAGGTTTGTCAACTTTTGAAGTATCATCTGCATATTTTAAACAAAACTAAGTTAGATATAACTCAAAGCTGATTTTAAAGTTAAACAGTATATTAAGACAAAAAAAATCATCAAAGCAAAGAAGTTTTAAAAACTAAAATGCTTTTTAAACATTTTTGTTTTGATGAAGAATACTTGAAAATTTTAATATCTCTAAAATGTTCCGACTGACTCAATAATGGAAACATTTTTAAAATCCATCACTGACTTATTAACATAACCTAACATTTCTAGGCTCACTGGGAAATCCAAATGAATAACATAACCTAACATTTCTAGGCTCACTGGGAAATCCAAATGAAAGATTCAGAGCTAGCTATATCTGGCCACAAAAATGAGTGCAATTAATGATTAGACCACTCAGAAAACAGGATATAAAAATATTCCAAATTTTATACATATATATTCAAATTTGAAACCAAGTATTCTTTTAAAGTATAAAATACTGAGTTCTCAAAAGTTCAAATTATTAGAGACTCACAAAATCAGCTAGTGAGATATTAGAATGAATTAGCTTTTTAAAACATTAAAAAAAATCCATGAAAGAAATCGGAATTACATACTCTGTTATATACAAATGTATTGAACCTATGAAATACCTGCAGCCTACATATAATACAACTCATGTGCCAGTTCATTTATTAAGAGAGTCCCTTTCACTCTGTATTTGATATGCATTGTGCTAGGCTTGGGGGACTATAGAAACTAGAGTGTTCTCATCCTTACCGTCATAGTGGTCAGGGTAGAGGCAAGTAAAGAAAACAGACAGATGGAAAAGTATAAGGACTCTGATGGAAGAGGTAAAAATAGACTATGTGGGCACCTATAAGAGAGGTATCCAAACTTGGGGTGAAGCAGAAATTCAGGGAAGATTTCCAGATAAAATATATCCAAGCTGAAACTTAAAAGAACTAACCAGCCAAGCATTATTACAGAAAATCCCAGGGGGGCGGGGGGGGGGGGGGGGGGGGACAGGTTAGCTCCCCTTCAACGCCTAATAAAAGCATTTACAGTTGTATCATAAATGGCAGATGGGTTCTCTTCATTCTTTCTTCTATATAGTTATGTTGAACCCACACAAACAGGAGCTACCTTTTATGAACCAAACTCCCAGCACCAAGAAAAGATTGATATTCTCTACCCAAACTCAAGACAAAACATTAGAAAATATTTTTAAAAGGGAGAAATGTGGGTAAAGGGAGATACACACAAAGTAGGCTGTAGTCCTTCGTGAGTCTATCCATACGATATGCTGAGTGGACTAAACCTGCTATATACCTTATGACAATCCCTTGGTTTCCTGTTCTCTTGAAAAGAGAGTCAAAAATTGGAACATTTAGTCAACTTTATATTATACTTTCATTATAGCACTACTATCTAAACTGCAATTTACACTTGGGTAAAACAAGTCTTTAGTGAAGTCATGTTTTGTCATGGGCTTCTTTGCCCATTTTGTTGTTACAGATAAAAAATAATCCCTAACTACCTTATTCCAGTAATTGAAAACTATTCTCAAGCTTCCACTGGAAGCCAGCCTTGAACAGTTAAGTTGAACTAATAAAACTATGATCCTCTGTTTACAGATAAAAAGAGAAAGACAGTATTTCCTCAACCTATCTTAATGATATATAACTGATAATCTTATGATCTTAAGGGAAAAAGAGAGGTGGAAGACTGAGCTCACAATGAGCCTATAAAAACACGAATACATCCTTAAAAGATTTCAATGGTATTTAGACTATCCTGAAATAAATCTCGTATTAAATAACAGTGGGAAAGCATACTATTTCTTTTCATTTCAGGTATGTTATGCTTTTTTCCCCCTTGTGTGAATTATACATACTAAAAGCCTTTTCTCTGCCCAGGAAGGTTTGCCACTTTGCCAAGATTATTATTAAAAACTACTGAAGGCAGAGTCTCCTGGGACCCAGAAGAGACACATGGACACTCAGTTTAAGTAGTGGAGAAAATTCCCATAAGCACAGAGAAGTATTTTTCATATCTCAGGATATATAAATTTGTATCATCTGAGTTCCACCTACTAACACATAATTCCAGATTATCAGAGCATAGACAGACCTGATTTGGCACTCAGCCACATCTTGGTTCTTCTCCAATAAAACAAACATACAGAATAAAATAAATAAAACAGAAAACTCCTCAGGGTTTAGTTGTAGACTATGGCTATTTCTTCAGTTTCCTTTAGCTCCCCAGCAAATACTACTATAATCAGTAGGGAGTTTTCAGTTTTATCTTCCTTTTCTCTTCCCAAAGCCCAATTTTCTCTACTTCCAATTGCCTTCATTGGTGTGACTCCAGATTTACAGGCATGTATATAAAATCTCATGGTTTTATACAAAAGGATCATAATGTAAATGAAGGGCTACATAAATTTTGTACAGGAGAAATGTGAGCTTGAAGAGATATTAGTTCACCAAAGCTACAAAAACCTAGCCACTTTGAGGGAGTATATCAGATACAGACAAAAGAAAAAGTCACCTTGTCCATTTTCTTGAGGCTTATTTTTCTTCCAGAATTCAGATTCACGCTCAAGTTCCTCTAATTTAAAAGAAAAAAGAAGTGTAAAAATAATGGAAACAATCATGAAATCTTTAATAGAAACAGTGACTTCACAGAACATAAAAAACTGCAAGAAGCCAAAAAGCAACTTACGTTCTCGTAGTCCAGGGACCAGCTTAAATATAATTTCCTCTAATGTATTATCCAACCTTCCAAGGGGAAAAAAGAGAATATACTAACAATGAAGATACCGCAATCCACTATTTAAACAGTTAGAGACTGTATCTTACAGGTATTACAAAATACAAGACGTAGACAATTTTAGCACATCCACTATCCCAAACTTTTCTGCGTGCAGAGCACACACATTTCTAGCCTTTCCTGAAGGGGCCGGTTGATTACAAAAATGGTCCCAAGTCCCCAGCTCTCTCTATGACTCTACTCTCTGAACAGGGCTTTGAAACTCCTCCCTCTATTAAAGGATGGCATCTACTTCCTCACCTTGAGGATATACATGGGCTAGTTTTGAAATGTGGTTATTAGGCCAACAGAATGTGGCACAGGTGACACCGTGCTTACTCTGAGCCAAAGCTTTATGAGGCCTCCCATAATTCTGTGCACTTGTTCTAGGAATCCCGCCACTGCGAGAATGAGTCTGGAGGATGGGACAGCATGCATGCACCAGGCTGCCCTGCTGAGGCCATCTTAGACTCATTCATTCACTGCGGTCTCCTGAGTGAGGCCAGCCAACACGAGAAAAATCACCTACATCTGTGAACCACATAGAACTGTGAGGAATAATAAATGCTTTTATTACTGTCTTAAACATGAAATTTGGGCTGGTCTGTTATGCAACAACAGCTGATACAGCTGGTACACTTGGCTAGTTCCTGGAAAGGAAATAATGTCCATTCCTTCCTTTGAAGCAATCTAGACCTTTTGGTCATTCTATCTTCTAGATAAGAAATGTAGATATTTATCTTGGCCTTTTCCCCATTTCCTTTTCCTGCCATGGAGGAGTAAAATGCCTCCTTTTCATGGCTGGTCCTTCAGTCTCCTCCTGCTCCCACAGCCCTCTTCTCTCCCCATCCCCGACACGGAACTCAGGAGCATTACTCCTCTAGTATACAAACACGGACAACTTTCTCATATCTTAAAAAAAAACCAACCCTAAAACCTTTGCTGAACCTATTGTCTTTTCAAGCTGTTAGCAGTTTCTCAATTTTTTCTTCCAACTAGAAGAGTCTGAAAGCATGATCGACATTATTTCTGCCACACGACCTGGGCTTTGCTTCTTTTACCTACTGAAATCATAATTTCCACATTGAATAGTTTCAAATTCTTGTTTTATAATTACAGTTTAAAAATTGTAGATGATTTTTAAAAGTCATTTTTCTCTATAGCAGTTTGATAGTGTTGCCTAACACTGCCTCTTGAAAATTCCCCTTCCTGGTTCTTTTTTCTGTCTACTTTTCTTCGTCCCTAAGTATTTTTCTTCCTCCAACTACCTCAAAATTTGAGTGTTCCCCACTGCTGTGCACTCTGCACTCTTCGACCTCTTCTACAGACTGCCTGCCTTGACGATTGCATCCAAATTCATGGCGTGAAAACTAGCATACAGGCAAATTACATGTGTACACACACACACATACATTACATCTCTCTGCTGAGCTCAAGTTCTGTGTTTCTAACCAGTGCTGAAGATCTCAAGCACCTCCTTTTGCTCATCACTGTTCAAGACCGTCTCATCAATCCTTCAACAAAATACTGAATACCTGTGTCTTTTTAAAAATTGAATTTAGAAATAACATATCTCCCCCAAATAGACTCAAAATGTAAGAATTATCTGAGCCTTCTCTCAACCCCCTCTCAGTTCCCACATTTACTCACCCAGCCCCAATGATCATGCTTTCTCCATGTTTTTCCCACCTTATCTTCCCGTACCTTCCATGCTTCCACTCTGCCAACCGCTGCCGTATTAACAGGACAGCACAGAGCTCCTTAAGTTGACATGCTCATAGTGACTCTTCCTTAAGCACTAATTTGATCATTATCTGCCTGTTCAGGAACTAATTTCTTCCCACCACCTGGCTTTGAGTGTTTATAGAACTTGAGTCCAACCTAAAACTTGTACTAGGTCTCTCTTCTCTAGCCACCTGCCTTATTCAATTATCCTTAAGAATGCCTTGTCACTTCCAATCTGTTTTTCTCTCTCGTGCTCTTCATTCTGGCTTCTCCACTCTTCTTGCTCTCCAACGCAACCAATATTACCTTATTCTTCAAGATTTAATTCAAATACTAACTCGTTCACAAAGTTTTCCCCCAGACTACTTAATAGTAGTAAACATAAGAGAAATATTTTTCTTACTGTTTTTTTTTATCAGAGTAATATATACACACACACACACAATTTACAGATCAAACTTCCCCACAAAACTTATATTAAAATACAACATTTTCATGACCCACCCTCCCCATTCCTTACAACCCCAGAGGCAGCCACTTTCAAATCCAACTTGTTTCTTCTGGTAGCCATGCCTTTTCTGCTGTCTAGATTTTTTTTACTTCCTTTTATACAAAGTAAGGATTTGGTTCTTGGATATCATCTTGCCAGCCCTCTTTCTTCCCAGCATATACTACTCTCATCTTCCTGTTATACTTTTATTACCATTTTTTGGTTTAATAACCAGTGTTTACGTGGTTATAATTATACATTTACAGTGTACGCTGATTATAGACATCCCCTCATTCAACTTTTTTCTTTCTCTAGTGTTAGTAATTGCTTTCTTTTTCTATGTACCTATTTCCAAATTCTTTAAAAGAATTTGGTTTCACTGTTCTCCAACAGATCAGGAATTGAGGAGTTTCATTTCTGTTCCTCTGAGCCATCCTTCACACCAAACTGACGCCCTCTATCACAGTTTAGGACTGATTTACTCCAAGGTCAGTCATTAAAAACACACCCTTGCATGCACCTTCAATTCCCTTGTTTGTCCCTCTCACACTTGCTCGAAATTATTCGGTACAACTACAACACTGGCTAAATCCAATTCTCCATTAACCTCTATACATGGCTAGAAAAAACACCACCACACCTCTACAAATTCGTAACTACAACTCCAATGTGCCTCTAAGTTGCTAGGAATTCTTTCCCAGTCAATTTATTCTCTCACATTCCTGGATAACACTATTTTTTCTCTCCATTAGCCACCTGATCTTCCACCCTCAGTTTTTCCTGTATGATTTGATGATATCTTTATCCTTCAAATTCCTTCAAACCACTACATCCCATCTTTCAATCCTATCTCTTGGTAGATAAACACTTTCTCCTCATTGAAAAACTTCGACAGACTCTGACCACCGTACATGCCTACAGCGCATGCACCCCATGTACTCTGCCCTCCAGCCTGCCGCTACACAGAGGATCGGTCAGTGCTCCTACAGAAAGCCACTCTTCTCTCTTATTCTGGGAGATTCCATTCCCTCTTATCTACCCAAGAACATTGTTTCACCAAACCCCCCTCCACTCCACTCTACCATTAACTTTCTGTTCTCCGCTGGACTATTCCCTTCAAACATACCTGTTTTTTTTGTTGTTGTTGTTTTTGGCCTATATTAGATTCAACAGAAACCTTCTTGACTGTATTCTCCTAACAGCTACTATCCAATTTCTTTGCTTCCATTTGTGGCGAAACTTTGTAAGATTTGCCTATAGTCACTGTTTCTAATGATTCTTGTCCCTTTCCTTCTTGAAACCTATTAAGTTTTTGGTTCACGACTCTACTGGAAGTGCTCTTGTCCAGGCTGATGAACTTCCTGTTGTTAAATCCAACCACCAGTTCTGTCTTCACCTTACCTGACTCCAGGAACATCTGACACAGCTGATCACTCTCTTTTCTTGATATACATTCTTCACTTGGCTTTTAAACTTCACTCCTGATTTTCCTTCTACTTCACTGGCTGGACCTTTTCAGCTTCCTTTGCTTGTTCCCTCTCCTCACTCTGACATCTAAATGAGGGAATGCTCCAAGGCTCGACCCTTGGTCCTCTCCTCTTTCTCTGTACTCCCTCAAGTGAACTCATCCCATGTCTCACAGTCTAAATACCTTCTACATGCTGAATACCATCAAGTATTTCTCTCCAGCCAGACCTCTCCCTGAACCACAGACTTGGATATCTACCTGTCACCTTGCGCTCTTCTCTGAAATGTTTAACAGACTCATTATGTCCAGAGCCAAATTCCCAATTTACCCCTCCCCCAAAGCTGCTCGATCCTTAGTCTTCCCTGTTTCAGTTAATGACAACTCCATTATTCCAGATGCCCAGTCAGGTCAGGGTCTGCTCTTTCTCTCATACTCTACTATATCCAACCCACCAGCAAATCCTGCTGGATCCTCCTCCAAACTCTATCTAAGATATAACCATCTCTAGCGCCCTCTGCGGCTACCATCTCTTACCTAGATCACCACCATTAGCTTCTAACTGCTCTCCCTGCTTCTGCCTTTGCCTTGCGAGGTACAGTGTATTCTCAACAGGGTCATCAAGATGATCCCCTTACACCAGGTCATGTCCATCCTCTAACCAAAACCTGGCAGTGGCTCTCCATTTCACTCAGAGTAAAAGAGGACATTCTTACAGTGGCATACACGACTCCCATTCTCTCTCTGCCCTCCTCTCCCACTATTCCCTCCCTCCCTCACTGGTCTCCGTGCTGTTCTTCAGACAAGTTTCACATGCACTCCCGACTTAGTTCCTTTGCACTGGCTGCTCCCTTTATGTGGAACAGGCATGCTTCATAGATTTATATATGGTTAACTCCTTCATGGCCATTAATTCTTTGCTCAAAGCTTACTTCCCAATGAGGCCTAGCCTCACCATTTCATTTAAAATTGCATTCAGCCTCTCCCTTCGCACTCCTGATTGCCTTCACCAGCACCTTCTCCTTTTTTCCCCTTTTGTACTTTCTAATGTGCCATATACGTCATTCATTATACACTCTGTTGTCTATCTCTCCTCACAAAAATATTAATCCTACAAGCGCAAAAATCTTTATCTATTTTGCCCATTACAGCACCTAGTATGATGCCTGAACATAGCAGGCATTTAGTAAATATGTGAATGAATGATTCCTCAGAGCCTTTTCCATCTTCCTTCTACCATCTGTATCAGCAATGTCCAGTAGAAACAGAAGTCAAATACATAATTTTAAATTTTCTAGTGGGCACATTAACAAAAGTATTTTACAGGTTCTGTGTAAAATTCTAATGTTTTGTTTATGCATTAAAATATTTAACAATGCATTTGTTTAGTAATTTTAATTTGAAATTACATAACAGTAAGGTCCTATTTAATGTAAAGGTCTTCCTATTGTTTCAGGGTTTCATTTAAGTTAAATAAAAAGGTTTCATTTAAATTAAATAAAATTTAAGATTCCATTCCTCTGGTGTACTAGCAACATCGTAAGTGCTCAAGAGTCGCACGTGGCTAATGGCTAGGAGGCTGAACAGCACGGACACAGACGGTTTTCCCACCCTCCCGCACAACTGCCGTCCTCTGGCATGTCGCTCCCATGTTAGACTCCTTTCCTCCTCAGTTTAGGTTCCAGCACACCCTCCAATGGCTCCTGAGAAAGTATGTAGGAGGAAAATCTGTTGGTAGCTGTGTAGCAGACACAATGTTACCTACTGAAGAACCTACAGGTCCCCCTTATGTTTCGCTAACAAAATCTGTTTATGTGCTGGCAGCAGTATGGCCAGCCCTAGGCATAAGTCAGAAGCCAAGGCCCCTCTAGACCCCCACAGCACCCCTTTACCTAAGTTTGCATGTGAGAGAAAGCCTGCTGGGGGACCTGTTGGTGAAGCTCTTCCACCTGCCACCTCCCAGCAGACTTGCTCTCCTGGGTCTGCTCAACCATCACTACCATCAGTCTGCTTTCCAATTCCCATTCTTGCTCCTATCCCTTCTCATCTTTACCCCAAGGCTTCAATGGTTCCCATTGTATTGCAGGAGTTATCCCCATGCCAATACTGAGTTCTTGTTCTTATCATCTCTGTGAGTTTGTCTTTTAAAGTTCATCCTTTGTAGAATAATTTTAGTGGGATAGGAGGAAAAAACTATAAAGGATATCATTAGATAAACTGATGAAACTGGAATATGGAGGATAGATTAAAATATTATACCAATGTAATCACACTGTAGTTATGTAAGATAGTATCTCTAATTGTAGGAAATACACACTAAAGTCATCAGGGGTAAGGAGCCATGAGGCATGTAACTTACTCTCAAATGGTTCAGAAAAAACAGAGCAGGCAGGCATGTGCATGATAAAGCAAATGGGATAAAATATTAACAGTAAACTAATCTGGGTAAAGAGAATATAAGCATTTCTTATATTTTGGGAACTTTTTGTGGGTTTTAAATTATTTCCAAAGAAAAAGTTTAAAAAATGTGATATACTTTAGCCAAGGGATTACATGCCAAGGGATTACATTTGATTAAATGGTGACTGGATCCCTCCAGATATCTAACACTCAAAACCAAAAGTTAATTTTTCTTCCAACATAGCACTTTCAAATGAAGTAGGTAATTATTATTAACTGTTTGGTATAGTTTTTGATAAAGCATCAGAAAAAAATTTTAGAGGAAGAGTTTGCCCTGTTCTTCTCTGAGTGACTTAAATCAGGGTTTCTTGACCCCTGTACTGTTGACAATTGGGTCTGGCTCTCTGGTGTGGGAGGAGGCTGTCCTGGGAATCATAGGATCCTCAGTGGGGACCAGCATCCCTAGCCTTTACCTACTAGATGCCACCAGTGCCACACAGACATGACAATCAAAAACGTCTCCAGATGTTGCTATAAGTACATGTTGCTATAAGCAGGGGGAGTGAAAGGGAGAAGCAAAATCACCAGTGGTGGGGAAGCACAGATCAGGACGACAGACTACAGTAGAACAGTGGTTCGCCAATGCTCGCTTCTATCAGAAACACCTGGGAGGATTGCTATTAACTAAAATGGGCTCCACCCTCAAGTTGCTGAATCAGCAAGTCCCAGGGGGGGGCGGGGGGGAGGGGGGCGGGGTGGTCAAGAATTGTCATTTCTAACAAGCTATTAGCGGTTTGGGGACCAACTTTGAAAACCACTGTGCTTGACATTTACCTACAGAAAAATTACTCCAGTGACATGCACTAATATTAAAAAAAAAAAAAAAAAAAAAAGTGAAATGTAAGACTTGCAAATCCAGGGGCACCTGGTTGGATCAGTTGGTTAACCACCTGCCTTCGGCTCAGGTCATGACCCCAGGGTCCTGAAATGGAGCCCCAGGTGAGGCTCCCTCTCAGCGGGGAGGCTACTTCTCCCTCTCCACTCCCCTTGCTGTGTTCCCTCTTTCACTGTCTCTCTCTCAAATAAATAAATAAAATCTTTAAAAAAGGACTTGCAAATCCAGATTTATAGAATGAAGGCAACATCACACAGATTATGAGGGTTGCAGAAGGGCTAAATAGAGAATGTCTAGCTGTTTTTAGATGTGTACTTCCCTAAAATCACACAGTTAATCTGTGGTGGAGCTATGGTAGGAAAAGTAGGAAGAAAGTAAATGGGTTTAGTGGTAAGAATATCTGGCATGTAGCTGTGAAATGACATGTGTGCTTGTTGAAGCCCTAGGAAAAGCTGTGTCACTTCTCTAAGTTTCAGTTTCCTAATCTGGAAAAAAAAAAGGTTTAGATTAGGATCTTATAGACTACTTTCAGCTTTAAAACTACATAATTATACTTCTTAAGTGAATGGTAGTCATTTAAAAAAATTCTTTAAGTTTTACACTAATGTTTGGATACTTTTTTGATATAACTGAAAAATTAATAGTACTAAGGTCAGCCTCTCTCACTGTTATGTCTGCCAGCACTACCATGTTGCCCAACAAAAGCAGAGTTATGTGCGGAATATTAAAATCCTGAAAATAACTACAACTAAAGTAGCTCTGAGATAAAGTTATAATTTTAAATTTGGAAATATATTTCTTAAATATTTAATGTCTAATATGTACAGACTTATTTTTAAATTCCTCTTAATAAAATTCTTTAAAATGAACCAAAATGCTTTAAGATGAAAATTAAAAAATTTGTAAAACCTGTATTAACTGAGTCAAGGTGCTAACAAATATTACGATGCATAATACAATATAGTAAGAGTTCATATAACTTTGATGAACTATAGAGTACATTTACTTACCTCAACATTTCTAATGGATTTGTCTCATGCACTTGGTTACCACACCTCGGACAGTCATTGCTATCTTCAAAGTGTTGGACAATACAAGTCTTGCAGACTAAGAAGAAAGAAGACGTTAGATTAAAATGCATTATTTGAACTTAATGTAATTAGAAATAGTCTGTAAGAATTGCATATTACAGGCAGAATGCTATTCTTTAACCAAACTTTATAAGACTTAAAATTCTGACATTGTAAAAAACAAACAAAACCAATTGAAACAAAGCTTACAGTTAACTATATAAAACGTATATACTACTCTGCTGCTTGCTTTCTTAAATATATCCACAAACCAAATAATTTATTCATATTATCATGGAAAAGCTGGTATATTTACATAAAACAACAGTTCTCATTTAAAGAAGGACAAAGAGAGGTATAACCTGTAAGTCTGCAAGGACTTCTTTTGAATGGAACATAAACAGTTCTTAATAAAATTTGAGAGTTTTCAACATGTTTGGATTACTTTGTTTTGGCAGGGTGCTCCCAGGACAAGTGGGGAGTTACAATGGAACTTCTAGCCTTTGCAGAACATGCTGAGTCTGTGCTCGCAAGCACTGTAATTCCACGGAGCATGAAGTATGGGTAGTGGCATCAACTTGGTACAAAGGCACGAGAGGAAAAGTAGAACAACTAAGAAACTGACAGGGATAAGTAAGATTTTAAATAAAGATTCTAAACAAAGACAATAGAAATATGATTTGTGGATTTTTGGCTACTAGGCCATATAGTCTATGCTTCCTCTAATAGTACAAATCTTTCTGGCTATCTCTCTCACCTTTTCCTTACATTTTTATTACCTACTATGTCAACTGTCTTGCCCAAAAACCTTAAACATATTTACAGCACCTGAACTATAAATTTTTTTTTATCTAATTCCCTATCCCAATTCCCCTCTCCTCTATTTTACTCTGTATAATCTGAAATTTTTACCCACTGGATCAGCTACCCCAACTCTTTTTTTTTTTAACTTATTTATTTGATAGAGAGGGTACGCATGAGCAGGAGGAGCAGCAGAGGAAGAAGCAGGCTTCCTGCTGAGCAAGGAGCCTGATGCAGGACTTGTCCCAGGACCCTGGGATCATGACCAGAGCTGAAGACAGACGCTTAACCAATTGAGCCACCCAGGTGCCCCCCAACTCCCTTTTCAACTCCACTACAAACTACTTCTTTTCCCTCTCCTCATGCCCCTAAAAGAAGTAATTACCTCCTCATTACCTAAAAGAAGTAAAAGTTTATCTAAACAATTGATCAAAAGTAAACACTAGGATTCTTCTGAGATTAGGTCTGAAAATTCGAGCATCTCATATACACTGGTCAGAGCAACCAACAGTCAAGGAAGAATTCTATTAGCTACCTAATTTTAAAGTCATTAGTATATACACAGAAGGTATCTTCATATTTCCTTTCACTTGCTCATCCATTCACCGAAGGCCATATATTGTACCAGGAGTTGGGGATATAGAGGCAAACAAAACAAAGCCCATACCTTTATGGAGCTTATATTCTATTTGGAAAGGCAAACAAAGAATTTTAGTAACACATGATATTTCCAAAAAAAAAAAAAAAAAAGTAGACAGTGTGGAGCCCTGGCGGCTATTTTAGGCTGGCCAGGGGAAGACTTTCTAAGATGACATACGAGACTTTTTTTTTTTTTTAAAGATTTTATTTATTTATTTGACAGAGATCACAAGTAGAGAAGCAGGCAGAGAGAGAGGAGGAAGCAGGCTCCCCACTGAGCAGAGAGCCTGATGCGGGGCTCGATCCCAGGACCCTGGGATCATGACCTGAGCCTAAAGCAGAGGCTTTAACCCACTGAGCCACCCAGGCACCCCGACATACGAGACTTTTTTTGTTGGATAAGTACACCTGAATCCCATTTTCTCCACCTCTTTTTACCAATACATATAGCTTTAAGGATAATACCCCATCATTAAAATTCTTCTCAAATTTGGATTTAAGACAGTATCAGAAAACCTTAAAAATTAAAGGGCTTAGATAAGAGTACTTCCTCTGTCTTCCACAATTCTTGGCCACAAAAACGTTCTAAATGTCTTTTAAAAAAGGTCAGTGTTAGGGAAGGGAGAACTTTCTCGGTAAGCTATACTAAAGTGGAGAACAGAGAAACTGAATTCTTTTAAAAGATTGCTGGTATTTGTTCTTTTCCCAGGACGCTAGATAAGTCTCTGAAATTTGGGAAAGAAGGCAAAAAAGGACAGATAAGAAGCAAGAATGAAGAGTATTACAAAGCCTGATCCCATCCTGAATCTCTGATCTGACCCTGGAGCTCTGATCCTTGTGGTTCAAAATGTTTATCACACTCAAAGGGTTTAGGAATTCTTGGCTGTCTACCAGCCTTGGCCCAAATAGAGGCACGTGACATGCCCAGAGCAAGTCCTCATCCAGGTCAGCCAAAAGATTAAGGGTAGGAGCCTGTCTTCCCAGGGCCTAATATACTAATCTAGGTTGCTGCAGGAAGAAATGAAAGGCTCATCCATCCAGACATGCATCATTTTCAAGAACAAGGCTGTGTTCACTGCTTAAGGCAAAGGCAGCACCAGTGCCCAAGGATGCTGACGGGGAATATTCATTGGGATCTAGATGACTGTCCAATATGGCAGCCACTAGCCACATGTGGCTGAGCACTTGAAATATTGCTAGTTCAAGTTGAGATGTGCTTTCAGTATAAAATGTGCATCAGCTTTCAAAGACTCAGCATGAAAATCTCATCAATGTTATATTAATGTTAAAATGTTACTTAACATGTAACATGTTAAGATATTTCAGATATACTGAATTAAATAAAATATGTTAAAATTAATTTCATTTGTTTCTTGCTTTTACAATGTGGCTACCAGAAAATTTAAAACTACATTAGTGGCTCACATTTTATTTCTACTGAATGACTGCTATTTTAGAGGGATGCAGAAAGCCCCGTCAGGAGGTGAATTTATTTTTCACACCAACACCTGAGATACAGTACTTTTTTCTACTTTTGAATATGAAGAAGAGGTTTCAACAGGCTAGGTTACCTGCCTACTCTGATGAATGGCAGCACAGAGACTTGAATCTAGGTTTTCTGATATGAAATCACAAATTTTATGTCAAAATTTAAAGATTTTTTTAACTTCACAAAGGAAAAGAATGTTATATAAAAATACCAGCTGTATCAGACAGCATTCTAAATGCTTCATTTATTTAATTCAACACTATTTAATAATTTAATCCTCATTACTGGTAATAGGTAATATTATAGGTAATATTATAGGTAATATTAGGCCTCTTACAGCTGAAGAAACTGAGCAGAACTTTAGAAATTTGCCAAAAATCACTGAGTAAGTGAGAAAAGCCAGGGTTTGAATCAAGAGCCCATTTTCTTAACTAACACAGTCTGTGTGACACATTTTTTTCTAATTTTATTTCTATAGGCCTATATATACATAGAAAAAGAATGCCTTACCCCTTAATTTGGGAACCTTAAAAATGTCTGTTTGTAGAATAAGATCTCCTTTTATGCTAAGTATTTTGCACGGAATAGCCCCTTTAAGCAGCTTATTTATTCCTTTAAAAAAATAACTGTAGAAAATACATTACATGCTTTTAAAAGCTGTTAAGTAAAGCACAACCTCATATGAATTAGAGCCTGAGAAAATTCAGGCCAGAATTTCAGTGAAACTAAAAGGAGTAAAAGGAGGATTTGCTTTCCCTTAGATGCTTAAAAAAACCCATCATTACAAAACTGACCTTTGATTCTTAGTTTATAATTTTGTTCGTATTAGCTGGAAAATAAAATTTTAAAATATCTTCAAGATTTAATACCAAGCTTTCTAACTGCTCAGCTGCTGTGCTGGTTAATTCCCTTGGTCCAAGAAAGACGTTGAGAAAGTCCCCTCTGTGGTTAAGACTGTGTATGGAGACCAACTAGAGTTTTCACTCTCACCAGCTACTCTACAAACAGGTGCTGTAGCCACAAGAAAACACCTGAGTCGGAAAGGGAGTTGGGCTTGCCAAAGATATCTCTCATTGGAAAAACGCTTGAATAGAAACAAGTGCTAACATTTACTGAGCAATAACAAGGATCAGGCTCTCCGCTCAAGGCTTTGTATGGATTCTAGGATGGACTTTGACCACCCCCTTTAGCAAATGAGAAATGCAGTATTGGAGTGCCTGAGCAGGCTGCCCACAGCTGGCCAGCTGTGTACCAGAGACCATATCCAGCCTCAGGCTGTGCAGCTCCAGGCCTAAAATCCACACCTAGATGCAACACATCTTAATGTCCGTAACACTTGGTCCCTTCATTAAGATTTCACTTTTTTAAAAAAGATTTTATTTGACAGAGATCACAAGTAGGCAGAGAGGCAGGCAGAGAGGGGGTAAGCAGTCTTCCTGCTGAGCAGAGAGCCCGATGTGGGGCTTGATCCCAAGACCTGAGACCATGACCTGAGCCGAAGGCAGAGGCTTAACCCACTGAGCCACCCAGGCGCCTCAAGATTTCATATTTTTAACTGATGCTTATATTTAGCCCATCACAAACAGCATTCAACTTCTGCGTAAAGCCTACTAAGACCAAATCTTTCCTTTGACCATTTCTCATATTTGAACTAGGTAGTTGTACAAATTAATACAATAAGAGGCCTTGTATCATCTACAGCAGTGGTTCTTTTTCTGGGGTATATATAGAGAGAGTATTAGTCATAAAAAAAAAAAAAGAATGAAATCTTGCCCTTTACAGTAACATGGGTGGACCTATAGGATAAGTGAAATAAGCTGGAGAAAAACAAATACCATATGATTTCATTTATGTGGACTCTAAAAAGAAAAAAAGGAACAAACAAAACAGAAACAGATTCATAGATAGAGAGCAAACTGATAGTTGCCAGAGGGGAAGAGGGTAGGGGTGGGGAATGAATGAAATAGGTGAAGGTGATTCAGAGGTACAATCTTCCAGTTATAAAATACATAAGACATGGGACGTAATGTATAGCATAAGGAATACAGTCAATATTACTGTAACAACTTTATATGGTGACAGATGGTAACGAGGCTTATTGTGGTGAC